TGACCCCAGGTGACTTCCTGCCCCTGGGGCAGGGGGCTGGACTCGATGATCTTCTGAGGTCCCTTCCAGCCCTAATGTCTATGAAATCTTTTAAACTAGTTAGGGTCTTTTATGCACTGAATAAAAATATTAAAGTTATATAACTGGAACATTCTGATTGGTATAATCACTATTGCAATGTGCAGTACCCGAAAGTCTGATTTTCAGACTTTTCCTTAAATTTTCAATCATACATTGAATTTAATGGTAGCAGTAATATACATAAATTAATTTCTAAGGTAGTATTGCATTTCTAATGTGTCAGAATCACTTGACCTTAAGCTACCTGCCTTATATAACACCACTTCAGATTTCTTTATAATTGCTTAGTTCATATAATTTCTTAATGTTAAATAATAGCAATAATGATAAAAAAAACTTTCATAGTTCCCCAAAGTCTCCATACAAGGATTGCTTGACTTACCATCATATGCACATATCCAAATATCAAAGGTCTCATGGCAGATCATCTGTATGTATTACTGATAATCAGTGGCAAAGTGGGGAAGTTTGCCTGTTAGAAAATGGTGAGTTAACTTTTTCCAATATTGAACAGATCTCTATAGTCCTCTTTGTAGAATGACAGTATTTAAATGAAAACTTTAGAGATCAGGCAATACTGAAAATATGTTACTTTACCATTGTCTTATAGTACAGAAAAGTCAAATGACCAGTGCTGGCGAGCCAAAGGAAAAGCATAACAGGTGAAGACATTTAAGAATTTATAAAACCTGAATGTTTCAAAAGGCACTTGGGACTCTAGCTATTGATTGCAATTACATTTACTTCATTTTAAAAGTTAATTTCATTTTTAAGAACTGACAGTTGAGATAGAGTTCCCTTTTTAGGGGCAACTTTTTGCTTTCAAATAACTGCATATCTAACTTTACATCTAGAAACCTTTAGACTTCGACCTCCTGTGCTTGCTACCTACACAATAAAAGGGCTACACAGAAAATTTGTATTACAATGCTTTGCAAGCACAAAATTGCACTTCCACTTGCTTAAGGTCTTTAATAGCAACAAAGAAAATAATTTAACTACATTATGCATGCTTTCAATGTGCTTCTGAAGTGGTAGGATGGTATCTTAGTTACAGTTTTATACCTGCTAAGAAAGAAGACTTTGGTTTTATCTTTTCATAAACAGGATTGATGCTGTTTTGAGAAAATGGAAAGGATTATTGTGATGCACAGAAATCTGTGGACATTCTTAACGAGGAAATGTTTAATATGCTATTGATGTAATTAGCATATTAAACATATTAGCATATTAATTTTTGTAAAATTGGAAGATGTTTTTGACTAGTAACAAGAGATCTCTTCAATTAATCTGAACAAGATACCAAATCTTTCCAGACCAGAACTCATTTCTCAATTTTTGGTTGGCCTCCCTTTTGTGGTCTGTTTTAAGACAGAGAAAAATAAATTGGTTATACGTTAACAACCACTTCATATATTTTTAAAACTATAATCATTCCTTTTTAGATAAAGCAACTAACCACCCCAGATTTTCCAGAAGCAAGGTGTTTTTGGTAGTATATTTTAATGGACCTGCTTTTTATTGGTGATATTTTATTGAACCCAAGACAAGCTTTTGGGCACAAAGTACTCCTCCAAATTTTCCAGAACAGACCCACATTTTAAGGCTATGTCTGGTATCTCTATCTCTAAAGAATATCTGCAATAAGACTCCTGCCCTGAATTTGAAAAATTGGTCCTGGATTGTTCTACATCCCTGGCACACTGATACACCTGCTGAGAAGATGCATCACAATGCAGCCTCATGTCAGCAGAACTAATTAGCCCACCTGCAATGCCACACTAAAGGTAGCTACACTAACTGGCACTGGAAATGGTATAGACAGCTTTTAGTTCCAGAGGTCTGTGTAACACCTGGAACTATATCCCAGATTTTGTTCCTTTAAAAATGTATTCATTTTATTGTCATGCAGCAGAACTAACTAAATCCTTTTCAAAATGTTCCTTTAAAATAATTATATAAACAATATTCTTGTTGTTGTCATCAGTTTTCATTTTTAATGCATGGGCATTTTTGTTCCAGAATATATTCTACAGCATCCTTCACAACTGATTAAATCTGGTTACTACTTCTTTTTCCAAATGCCATGGTTTCCTGAATTCATGTTTACAATAAATGATTTCAAGGTGAGCAAAAATAGTGCTCTTGTTTATACGTTTAACGTGTTACTGATGGAAATACTATCACTTGCCTTATTCTTTTCTGACATAGTGGTGGTTATGGAAATATTAAGGTTGGCTAATAAGACTTGACTACAATCTGGGTTTTAGCAAGGCTTAATTTATATTAGCCTTAGCATTTAGCAGACTAACTTATGTATGTGTAGAACTGAATAATATCCATTACTTAAATAATCTCAGCCAGGCTTCCTGGTAGGTACTTCAATACAGCTTGATACTCTTGACCTCCAGCATGATAATATATATTTCAACAAGACTACCCAGCTGGTCATATGCTACCAGTTTCTGTCAGAAATCAAATTCTGTGTATAAAGAATGCTCACTGAATTTAGTGGGCATTTGTGTATACAGTGGAACCTCCTCTAAGGAATGTTAGCCCTTTTTTCTCTCAAAACAAATCCAAAATATTTACATGTTAACCTCCTTCCACAGTAATACAACAGTAGCTTCTGAGGAAGGGGCTACCTAGTTCACAGCAAGGACTTCTAAAATATGAAACTTTTTATGTGCTGTAAGTTGCCTAAGTAATCTGTATGGCCAGACCATGCTTCAAGCATCAAAAAAACAAACTAAAAAAGCTGAATTGAAGTTTCTAAAAGAATAATGCTTTAAATCAAATCACAGCATTTAAAAACTATTTTTCTTCTAGGAAATCTAGGACACTTAAAATCTGTATACCTGCCTTTGCTTATGGCAGTGTTAGGACCCAATGTAAAGAAGTTTGTAATATTTTATTTATATATATATATATATATATATATATATATAGCTTGTTACTCTGACATAAATCATACCAGAAAAAAATCTCTATATTTTGTTATTTATATCTACATAAAAAAGTATCCTTACCATTAACTGTACTTCAAACAAAGTGATAAATGGATTTTAGATGCATAATTCTTACCCAGGGAGAAAAGTGTTACAGTCTTGTCATCAAGATAGCTTAAGTGCTATCCTTTTGTAGGTTCTGAAAAACCTGTTTACCAGCCAGACCACTGGCATTGGAAGAAAAGGCTGTAGATTAACAGCAGAGGATATTGATGCTTATCTCTACATCTTCTCTCAACCTGGAGCGCTAACTGGACCAATTAACCACTACAGAAATATTTTCAGGTAAATATAACATTTTCAATGTTTATAAACCAAGTACCACGTCTCAGATGGATCCCTGAAGATAAATGTCACATATTAATGTCTTGACTTCCCTGGATAAAGGGGGAGTTGATTTGAAGTTTGATAGTGGGTTTCAGCTCTTTATTTATGCTCCCTCCTCATCATCCTCAAAAGTACCTAGTTTCCTTGATGTCTCTCGAATCCCAGTGCAGGCCGCACAATGATCCTTAGCAATGATCACGGGCAACACATCCTATCCTCTTCCCTCTCTGAATTCAGATGATGGATTAGAAAAGCAGATGATCTTTTCTTTCTACAGATCAGGACTCCTCTTGTTGCTATTTTCAAATAGTTATTTTCTGTGCCTCCCTACTTTATCCTCCCCCATGGCGCACTGTGCAACCAACAGACAAAACAGTGACAAGACTGGAGGATAGGAGTCAGCTGCTGACTCTAGAGGCAGAAAGTCAATATTTCAATATTCAAATTCCTCCCCCCCCCACAAACAAATTTTCTATTCCTGGGCCTTTTCAGAAAACTATAGAGATGGGTCATTCTTCTCTATACACAACAATCCTTCCTCTAAACAAGGGAACACAAAACTCACTGAGTGGGCAAACTCAGGCACAGCAAATCAGAGAGAGAAGAAATAGTATTGCTTATACTAGGAGTTGGCAACATACAGTCTGCAGGCCAGATCTGGCCCATGGAGCCACTGGATCAGAGCCACAGAGCCAAAGGGCTTTACCTATGCTCATGCCCTTGCCTGTGTCCACACCTGTACCTATGCTGGAGGTAAGCAGTGAGGAGCTGAGTCAGGGCTGGGCAATATCCAGCTGCATCCATGGTGCCGCTGCTTCTCCACACCTCCCACACCCTCTCCAAGGTTGAGACAGGGGTACAACTTCCAGCCAGTGGGGAGCTGTGCCAGGGCTGGGCAGCTTCTAGCTGCACTGGCACTACAGCTGGGAGGCTGGTGCAGGGGCACAAGGAGAAGTGGCAGCAGCATGGACACTGCTCGTTGCTGCCTGGAAGCAGCAGTTGCATCCCAGCTGAGAAGTGAGAAGCAGGGAGAAGTGATGATGGTGTGGGTACAGCTCCCAGCTGCCCGGAATGGTGCAGGCACAAGGGAAGCCCCCCACCATTGATGTGCTGCCAAAGCCATTTGGCTTGAGTCAGACCAGAGCTGGGTTGTTCTGGCCTGTGGCTTGCAAAGGTTGCCAGCTGCTGGCTGATACTAATTTAATTGTTTAAAACAATGCAGGAAGTGATTTCACTTGTCTACGACAACTTCTCACCAATGAGCACATTAATCAGGTGCTTCTGTTAAAATAGCAGTGAAATAGTTAACATTCTGATATTTAAATTTCATTAGGATATGGATAATATAAATAGGGTGGTCACATGGCACAGGGCTATTGTTTCAAGTTTTCTTAAAACTTGAGAAGAAAGACTCCATCAATTGTCATTCAGATTGTTTTCAGAAACAGAAGAGCTAGCAACTGTTTTTAAAAATGGAGGTGCATCTTTGGGAAACTGAGAGGATACAATTTTAGGGTACTAAAGCCTCACAGGTCACAATACAGAAGCCTTGGGATTCATTTAGTTCTAGCCTGTCTGAAAGATGTCAGGTGAACCAGTTATGAGTTGCGAGGGAGATAATGTGACACATAAATACCTGTTCAATAGGAAATAGTTTAAAGCCACCATTTGATTTTCCTTAAGACACAGGTTATCACTTAGATTCCAATTATTTTCATTCTGTTAGCTCACAGTGGCTTGGAACTGGTGACCTGGATGTTAAAGGCTGCATATCTCACTACCATCTAGGCCATCGTCTAGATCAGCAGGTCCCTCAGAGCATAATTTACTACCATAGTATTTCTAAAGATAAGTTTGAAAATCCCTAGTCCCTGCTACTAACCAGTATATCTATGTATGGAGAAGACTTCAACAATTCTACAAAATAAATCTGAAGCACAGAAAAAGGAGGAAAAAAAACATTTATTAAATCTATTCCTTCTTCAATATAAGCCAGATAGTCCAAGAGAGTTTACTGCATGACAACAATGAAAATCGTATTTCATAAGAACTCAAAGTACTTCAGATTACAGGCTTACTCCTATGAACAGCCAAAAAGAATTTTACCTTCAACTTCAACAGAAGCAGGATGAGGGTAAGCTAATGTGAACAGCATCACTAAATGCCCATACTCATAAATGAAAACCTCTACCTTTAAGACTTTATCCACAGAAGAAATAGCCTAAACAATTGGTTTCTAGACTCTTGGCTATGCACCCTGTAGTCTGCAGACTTCACTGGTCATGTGATAATGGTCTTCTATTTGTTGCCACAAGTGTTAAAGTTCTTTGCTGAAAGCCGAGAGGAGAAATTCAAAACAAAGTGGAAGACAGGGTGTAACTATCACTACTGCCTATACCTTTTTATGGAAAGGACATTGTGTCCTATAGTTGTACACTGTCTAGCAAAATGGAGTCTTGGTTTATGGTAGCATCTTCTAGGTGCCATTGCCATATGAATAAATAATCATAAAATAAAAAGTGAATGTAAAGAAAGAAGAGAGGCCCTCAACAACTAGAGGCCAGAGGGAGTGGGTAGGTGTGGCTACACTTTAGTGCAACACAAGCTGGTTAACACAGATCAGTGACAATCCTGCCCTGGAGTGGCATAACTTTGAATCACATAAGGGCCTTGGTACACAGTTAAGTTTAGGTGGCTTCTGGAGCTCTTAGCCCCTGGACTGGCTGCACATTAACACCTTTTATCTGGCTTAAAGCACAAGTGATTCAGCATAGAGTTACACCACTCCAGGGTAGTATTATCTCCAATCTGTCTAAATTTGTTCTTGTTCCATTACCATGCGGCCACTTCTCACACCTATTCCATTCAAGTTGAAATCCTCCAGTATCCCAGAATGCTATGAGGGTCCCAATCCTTTCTTTCTCTGGCACTCAGGCAGCACCCACTTCCCCACACTCCACCAGCCAGGCTGTCAGTCAGCCAGGCATGCCTGAGCTCCAAGGGACCCAAACCTTTTTTCCCCAGAGCACCTGATGGCTGCAGTGTCTCCCGTCACTGCCCAGACTGACTCTGCTCTTACTTGAGCTCCAGAGAAAAAAGGATTGGGCCCCTTGGAGCTCTGGTCTCAATGAAACTGACATAGCAGCTCTATGCTGACAGCAGGGCGATCAGGGTTTAAGCTTGGCAGCCCTGCTTTCAATCCCAAACCGCTGTGTCAGTTTCAGCAAGAACAGAGTGTCCCAGAGAAGCTGATTCCCCAGGTTTCTCTGGGCTCCTATACACATGCAGGGAGCCGACTCGATTAATCAATTAATCGAGTCTGCTGGAGCGCAGAAATGAACACGTTCCACCAAATTCTAGCATCGCATGCATCAGCTGAAAAATGGTGGTGGGGTGCTTTGAACGAAAGCTCATTCGATGAGCTCATTCAATGAGCTTTAGTTTAAAGTGCCCCACTGCCATTTTTCAGCACAGGAAGGCTGATGCACGTGACACTCAGGCACTTTTAATTAGCATGGCTTGCTAATTAAAGTGCCCCCCCCATACCTTCCAGAGCACGTGTAAAAATGCCTTCTGTTCTCACTGAAATGGACAGCAACTCTGCACTGAGAGTGGGGCCTCCAGGCTTAAGCCCTGACAGCTCTGCTCAGCATGGAGCCATGTCGTGGCATGGGGTCCCCAGGGATGGCTGTGATGACCCTAGGGCTCCGTGACCATGCCTGTTCCGCTCTACAGGCACCTTCTAATCTCACCTGCCATGTCTTATTGGTTGAAATAAGTTGGGAGGCTTCCCATGATTTTATGTGGTCACAGTCCTGCTGAACCCCACTAGATCCTGCTGATCTTGGATCCCTTGCCAGGTCTCACTCAAAGTCAGGGCCTTGTGGGACACCCAAAGCCTTATGGGCTAGATGCGTGGCTCCAAACCCGCCCCTTTACCACACCCCGTGCCTCGCAGGTGGTATTCAAGCATTGTCCTTCTGAGGCCTTGATCTAGCTTGGCCTCCTGTCATCACTAGGCCCTTGGCCCCTGTCTGCGCACCCTCACTGGCACTGGGCTCTCCACAGCCCTGTCTGCGCACCCTCACTGGCGCTGGGCTCTCCACACTGTAGTGTGCCCCAATGAGGCTTTCTCCTCCCCAACAGCCTTAGTCTGGTCCACCAATTCAAACAACTAACAACATAAATACAAGCCCCTGGGCTATAACATAACAACCACAATAACGTTGGAAGTTACACTCTGCCTCTTTAAGGAGCCAAGCTTCTCCCTCAGCAATGTGCGCCTCCTAGCTCCAGATACTTTAGGAACTCCTACAGCCCATTAGTCTTACCAGCAGCAGAACAGGCAACCAAGCATCTCTCAGTAGCATTTCTGCAATAGCTTCTTCCCCCTGGCTGATGACAGAGAACTAACCTCCTGCCAGACCCAGCCCTGGGGCTTATATCTGTGCAGGGCCCTGTTTGCTTCTGGTCAGCTGACT